CACACACACACACACACCTCCATGATGGAGCAGAACCTGTGAGACACTCCAGGATAGAGCTGTCACTCAGCTCGGTGTGTATAGAGAGCGACTCAGAGCACACCGGGGACACAGGTGGGAGTGCAGGGAGCCCCCGAAGTGTCTCATTCAAAGTGGAAGACGGCATGGGGGAAGGAGGTGGAGAGAAAAAAAAGAAAAAAAGGAAAAACACAGAGGAAGATATTATCACTTCCATCTCCTCCTCCTCCTCCATGTTAGTGTGAGGGGAGCTGCAAAAAAAACAAGATGACCTACATTTCACAGCAAGAGGCTCCAGCAGGAAAGCTTTAAAACAAAAAAAAAAGTGTGTGTGTGTGTGTGTGTGTGTGTGTGTGTGTGTGTGTGTAAAGTGGTCACCAAGATCAACTAGAGATGTCAGAAAATTCATTGAGAAAATGAAGCATGTAATAGTACCAAAGTCCAATTATAATTTTATTTTATTACATGCAGAACTTAACTAAATAGTTTTAAAATATCTAAACGAGGGTATAAAATAAAAATATAAAGTCCCACAGAGCAAAGCATCTTTGCTCACACTTTTAATCATTGTGAAGCTGTTTCACTGACCGGAAGAGGCTCCTCCTCCTCCTCGACAGTCCCATTCTGCACCGACTCTTCTCCACCTTCATCGCTGTGGTGATGATGGTGATGATGCTTCTTCTTCTTTTTCTTCTCCTTGTCTTCCTTTTCCTTTTTCTGCTTCTTCTTCTTGTGTTTGGAGGACTTCTGGTTATCAAAACACAAAACAAATCGATACGATTATTAGAAGTTGAACAATTGAATAGGTTGAGAAATGAAAACTGGCAGATCTGTGGGAAGCATAGACTTGAATATAGATCATAGACTGAACCCCGCCCACACCGTCCGCTGGTAGCGTCTGTGACAGCATGGAGGAGCAAAAATGGCGTCCAAACAGGGCAACGGCTTACAGCCACCACAGAAACTAATAGATAAACAACAGCTGAACCGGATCTGTTTCACAGATTATCGGTCACGTTTTTACAATAAATTAATAACTATGTTCATTTTATTCAACAATCATGTAAAACAGCAGATTTATACCAGAAAAATTTATAATTTATAAGTAACAATGATCTAATCCAGACCTGAAGTCAGCCTGTTAACTTAAGACTTTAGCTTGTTGAAAAATGATGACTTCAGCTAGTAATAAAGTATATTTATTATTTCTTCTTACTGTCATAAAAAATAAGAATATTTATATTTACAAGTCAACAGTTAGAAAATGTTCTCTGGTTATAGGATGAAACTTGTCTCTATTAGCTAACATCTTCTCAACAAGTCAGGTTCCTCTAACAGAAACCTAAAAATACTCACATTTATAATTTTATTTTACACTCTGTAGGTCTAAATATTAATCAGAGAACAAATCATCTGTAATATTTAATAGTTTGTTAAATTGTAGCATGATTCAACAGTGGTAAACTCTGTATAAATACTCCACAAGCTAATACAGTGGTTTGCAAAAGTATTCATACCCCTTGAACTTTTCCATATTTTGTCACATTACAACCACAAACAT